GTGGTTTTGCAGCCGCTGATTTCCTGTAAAAGTTAAGGCTGGAAAGACGTTAAAATAAATACATCTTTGTCAGCCAGCTGGGACATACTGGGTTATAATAGTAAAACAGTAGCAGGGTTTACCCGGGAACTAGAGCATTACTTGGCGTGAACATTGTACCAGAAAAGCTTCCAGAAAGAAGAGGAAAAGAAAGAGGCCTGGAACAGGATGTAGAAGAGAATTTTTCAACCTCGTCGACGTTTAGATGAGTGGACTTCAATTCCCAGAATTCTCCATCCAGATATTGAACTCCAAACATCCTGGTGGGCAGGCGTGGGCTTCAAAAATCTCAACAACCGATTCTCTGCCTGGTTGTTGGACAGGCGTGGCCATGGTGGGCGTGGCATAGTCGGCCTCCTGCATCACAGTGGGGGGAGCGTTTTCATCCTCCCCGGGCTCCCGAGGCTTTCCTCAAGCCTCTGGGAAGCGAAAACAGCCTCCCCCGGGCTCTGGAGGCCTTCCGGAGGCCAAAAACGGGCCTGTTTCCAGCCTTCCAGGGCCTCTGGGAGGCCTGTTTTTGGCCCTCCTTGAGCCTTCCACGCGGGCCCTGCACTTACCTCGCCTCCAAAATGGGTCACATGGGGGCTCCTGGGAAGGGAGGGGTGGGCGTGGCCAGCCAGGGGTGGGATTTGGAGGTTCTCTGAATCAGCTACGGGTTCTCCCGAACCTGGCCAAACCCATAGGAGCCCTCTGGGAGTTGAAATCCACACATATTGGCAAAAGCGGAAGAGACTTCCGACTTCCTGCTGGCTTCCCCAATGACTTTCCTTAGGGGAAGCCGGCTGGGAACCTTAGAGATGATGGTCTGTGACAGCACAATGGCCCACAAATTTGGCAAATTTCAATCCCGTGGGAATCACAAGTCCTGGATTTTGGGTGTGTCCTGTAAGTGATCCCATTTTGAAATACGTTGGGTCAAAAACCTGGTTTGCCGTGGGAGTTTTTTCCCCTTCTCCCCTCGGTGTGTTTCTGTTATATAAATTAGAAGATCAGAACTTCAAGCTCACGTTTAAAGCAACGATGCACCAGGGAGAGCAGCAAGGATGAAGAGGTCAGAGGTGGGGAGTGGAATTGGAAAACTCCAAATGCCGTTTTGCAAAAGGTGCAAAATCAGAAATCCAGACGTTCGTTCCGCCAAAACGGTTGAGTTTTGCCCAAGGAGCAAGCAGAGCTTCCCTGAGGCTGAGCTCAGCTCCTGATTAATTCAAAACGGCACCTTCCCCCGCTGCCTCCCCCGTTTTTTTTTGCAAGCCTGATCTGTCAATCTTTGTCGGCAGCCTCATTTGTAAGGGTGGAGGGCGATGTTTGAGATCCAGGCACCTGGGTTGCAGGGGCGTCGTTGTCAGAATTGCAGAGTGCGGTTGTTGTGGGTCCCCAAGGGGTTGTTATTCATCTGGGGATTTTGCTGGGACAAGGGTGATGCCACGTGAAAGGCAGAATGATAGGTAGCTGTGGGGATATTGCAAGGATTGTGTGTGTGTGTGTGTGTGTGTAAGTCTCATTTTTTCTAACATCGCCGTCTTTCCAGGAGAGCAGGGAAGAAGAAGATTCTGGAGGCTTCCTTCCTATAGACCAGTGTTTCTCAGTCTTGGCAAATTTAAGATGGGAATCACCCAGCCACCTTTCGTGCCTGAGGCGGTACTAGAATTCATCGTCTCTTGGTGATTGACCCAAAGTCACCCAGCTTAAAGCAGGACTAGAACTCTCGGTCTCCTGGTGATTGACAATAAGTGACCTAGCTGGGTTTCGTGGCTAAAACAGGGCTAGAACTCACTGTACCCTAGTGATTGGCCCTAAGTCACCCAGCTGGCTTTTATGTCTAAGGTGGGACTAGAACTCACCGTCTCCTGGTTTCTAGCCCAGTGCCTTAACCACTAGACCGCTAGATCTGGCCTTTCGCAGCACGCTCCCTGCCTTCTTGCTCTTAAGGGTTGACGGACAAGCAGTCCTATAGACCCGCAGGGGTCTCCAACCTTAGCAACTTGAAGACTTGTGGACTTCAGCTTTGCTGGCTGAGGAATTCTGGGAGTTGAAGTCCATAAGTCTTAAAGTTGCTAAGGTTGGAGACCCCTGCTATAGAATCAGGGCCTGGTCCTTGCACACCCCGAAATTCTGGTATAATCAAGCTTTTTCCTTCTCCAAAGCACGTCATGAGTTGACCCATGACACTCTTCTCCATACCGCAAAGTTGGATCCCCAGAAGACAAAGGGGACTTTTCTCCCTAATTATCATAAGTTACTGCTTCATTAGCAGCCGCCAATGGGGCAAGGTGACAGCTCCTCTGCCCTTCCTCTAATTAATGTAGCTGGCTGCAGGGAAATGCGACGCTTCCTGGCCAGAAAAAAGAAAAGAAAAAGCCTTTGTGAATCATAGAGGAGAAATCAGGGGATAATGATCTAGCAGACTTACAAAATAGCTTTTTGAGTTTGGCGAGCAGAAGGAAAAACCTGCTTTAATCTTGCCGCAGCTACCCTGAAGAAATCCAGGGAAAAGTGGTGCCACGAGCGATCCTCGGCGTACGACGTGAAAAAAAAAATTGCCAGTGGACAATGGAATGGAATGGAATGGAATGGAATGGAATAGAATAGAATAGAATAGAATAGAATAGAATAGAATAGAATAGAATAGAATAGAAAATATGGGATGGAATGGGATATGGAATGGAATGGAATGGAATGGAATAGAATAGAATAGAATAGAATAGAATAGAATAGAATAGAATAGAATAGAATAGGAAATATGGAATGGGATGGGATGGGATGGGATGGGATGGAATGGAATGGAATGCAATGGAATAGAATAGAACAGAATAGAACAGCATAGAACAGAATAGAACAGAATAAGGAATAAGAATAGAATAGAATAGAATAGAATAGAATAGAATAGAATAGAATAG